AATTCATTGGGGATCATTTCAAGTCCTCAGAAAAAGTCTTTTATTTTGAACCATCATCCTCTCAGGAACTTAACTTCCATTGGTAGAAATGTCTTTTTCATCTAGCTCTTCCACAATCTCCTCAGCAGGTTCTTCTTCTTCTTCTTCAGAGTATTGCACATGTTCTTCAAATTCTTCCAAGTCTTTCTGCTTCTCAGTTTCTTCTAGTGGCTCCTGCGACGTTTGCTCCTGACTGATATCTTCAACTACCTGATCTTCAGAGAAGTTCTCAACAGCCTCTGCCACACTTGTGTCAGTTCCTGTTTCTTCCATGGAAGTTGGGTCTTCCTTGTCAAGAACAGCTTCTTCTTCTTGGTCTGGAATCTCCTCAGTTATTTCATCCCCCTCAGTTACTGCTCGCTCTTCAATAACATATCCATCGTTGACCTGAACTTCCTCAGATATTGCATCCCCTTCAGTTACTGCTTGCTCCTCAATAACATCTTCATCGTTGACCTCAACCTCCTCAGTTATCACATCCTCCTCAGTTACTACTTGCTCTTCAATAACATCTCCATCATTGACCTGAACTTCCTCAGATATCACATCCCCTTCAGTTACTGCTTGCTCCTCAATAACATCTCCATCGTTGACCTCAACCTCCTCAGTTACTACTTGCTCTTCAATAACATCTCCATCATTGACCTGAACTTCCTCAGATATCGCATCCCCTTCAGTTACTGCTTGCTCCTCAATAACATCTCCATCGTTGACCTCAACTTCCTCAGTTATCACATCCTCCTCAGTTACTACTTGGTTCTCAACAGATTCTTCTTCCCCGAGGACCTGAACCTCCTCAACTGGTACTTCCTTGTCAGATACCTGTAGCTCCTCAGGCATTTCATCCTGTTGAGTTACTGCTTCCTCAATAATATCCTGGTGGAATGGAACCTCATCAGCTTGTTCATTCTCCTCAGTTACTGCTTGCTCTTCAGCAACATCTTCTTTGACTTCAGCTTCCTCAGGAATTTTATTCTTATCGGCTTGCTTTTCAACAGGTTCTTCCCCATGAACCTGAACATCCTCAGCTGGCTCGTCCTCCTCAGGTACCACTCGCTCCCGTTCTTCATCATGAACCTCCTCTACCGTTTCCTCCTCGGTAATGGCTTGTTCCTTTGTTTCAACTTCTTCATCCTTGATTGGAACTTCCTCCTGAGTTGCTGCTTGCTTCACTTGCTGCTCTTCTACTGGAATATTTTCCTCTGAACTGGACTGCTGGCTTTCAGATAACATCTGAAACATATAAAGAGCATTAGGATGTGACATGCCAAAATGATCATATATGAAAAAAAAAAAATGAAACAGTTAAGACTATACCTGACTCTGGACGATCTCAAGTTGGGCAGCAAGGTGAGAGTGAAGGCTATGAGTACTCTTTTGATGGTCCTCCAGACTCCTACGGACTGCCATAAGCTGCTCCTCAAGAACTTGGGATCTTCTTGCCTGTTCCATCTCCAGGAGGTCCCTAGCAGAGAGAACAAATAAAGATGAATTAGGAATAATCTGTATCAGTAACAACACCAAACCGCTACAGACCAGAAATGCTAGAGAGAATCCATAATCTATGATCCCACAAATCCCCTCAGGTTACTCACTTGATGTCCATCACCTCCTGTCTGTTTCTTTCAAGAGCCTTCTTGTTGCTGATAAAGGATTCCTTCAGGCTTGAAAGTTCCATTCTTTGTTCCTCCAACTCAGATGTGAGACCCTCTGTAGTGGACATCTGCTCGTCAAGACGTGATTTGGTGACCAAAACAGTGTCTGTGAGCCCAGAAATGGTAACAGCTACCTCAGAGTTCGCAGTAAGGATAGAATTAAGCCTCTGCTTCAGTGTTTCAGTCTCTTCAGTCTTATTCTTGACCACTGCATTCAACGTTGCAGTGGATACAGATTCCTGCTGGAGTTCAGAAAGTTTGCCATTCATCTCAGACTGAAGAGACCAGAATTGATTTTGAAGATCAGTAGATTTGATTTTTTCTGAAGTGGCCAGTGCAACGTCTGCCTTTTTTTGGGCCTGTGTGTAGGCTTCTTCCAGTGCTTGTAGGCGCTCTTCAAAAACACCCACATTGGCAATCTAGATATATAAACAAAATATTTTCATTGCAATAAAGTTCAATTATTAATTTGATCAATATGCAGCATTTCACCAATTCAGACATGTATTGAGCCTAAGCACTTGTATGTCCATCTAAAATTGCAGGTCGCATCTGAAAATTAATCAATCATACATTGAATCTACAGTGTTGTAGTAATTAATTTATCATTTCACACAAGGCCACTGTGAATAATTCAGGATTTTAAAAATACACCAAATGTATAAGTTTGTTCATGACATGCTCTCATCAGTGGTGTTGACAGCTATACACTAGCAATGAGTTCTATGATTCAGTTGATTCAGAAGAGGAAAGTATTATAAAAACAATGATGGCATTGATCTTTGTATTAGGTAGTTACCAAAGAAATGTCATTAAAATGCATAAATTAATGTTATCATAATTTGATTATAATCTTAAAGGGGTTGTTGATTGCGATTTCACTTTTTTAACGTTAGTGTGTAATGTTGCTGTTTGAGCATAAACAATATCTGCAAAGTTACGACGCTGAAAGTTAAATGCAAACGAAGATATCGCCTTTTAAAATTATGGCAGTTTAATGCCTACAAAAACGGCTCGTAGGGACTACAACGAGTTACTTCCTGGGTTTGTGACATCACAAACCCTGATAAACCCCACCCCCGAAAACATGCAACAAAGGGGGTGAGGCGGCTGCTTTAGAGAAGAAGAGGAAGAGTTGTTGCCATGCCGTCAAAACTAGGGGTGCACGAAAAAATATATTCATATATGAATCACAATTCTGTGTTCTAATGATTCTAATGGATTCACAAGTTTTATGTAAAAAATAATTTTACATAAATTTTTTTTTACATGGTTTTGAAATTAAACTTAAAGAGCAAAAGCATTTTTACCCAACAACACCATGTGGTAACGATTAAGCCCTCACAGCAAATGTCCTGGAAGGATTTCCTAGAGTGTTTTCCACAAAGGGCCTATTGAGTTTAAGTTGCTGTAAAACCACTGACGTTTAAAATAGTGGCACTTCTTTTAATTCAAATTCAAATAACATTTGATGAATTTAGAGTACTACTTATGCTAAAGGATTCAATATTTTACAGTAACATTATTTATGCTATATTTTTTGACAGTGAGAAATTTAACCCAAAGCTAATGGCATGATGGTGTACTGTTTTATTGGATGTAGAGTTGACAAGACTATTATTAATGTGAATGACAACATTTAATAGGCTACTACAGTTCTACAAATCACCATCAGTGAAATGAAAATTGTTTGACATTTTTAAATGAAAGGGTTACTTTAATACATTACATTCTGATCACTAATGCAGTGCTGACTGCCTTTTAAATGAAAGAGTAATTTACGTGTTTATTTATATATTTACTTTTACATGTTGGTTAGGATACAATTTGCATAATGTCCTTTAAACAAGCCAGCCTGGCAAAAGGAAACACGATCCTCCTCCGAACAGACTATTAATGGCCTGGGAGCAACATGACACAATTCAGCGAAAGGAATATTCAAAGGGCACATGAGGCATACATTCAGACCCGTTAGGATTATGTATTTTTTTTTTTTACAATCAAATTACAAATAATTCAAAATGTTCACCATAATATATAAACTTGATCAAGAATGTGCTTAGTACACAATGTTCCAATGCGCACACAGTGTGTTTTCCTGTGCGTAAAAGTAACTAACTGGATTCTTTTATTTAAAAGTTAACTTGTAACAACAAAAATGCAATTTTTATAACTTGTTAATTATTCTAGTGTATTTCAAAATCGAATACCTGTGCATTACCCATTCCCAACTGCTGTTGGAACTTGGTTATCCTAAGTTGCATTGCATTGACTGTCTCTGTTAGACTGTCGATGGTTTGCTGCTGCTGGCTGCAGAACCAGACTGCCGTTGATCCCCCGACAGCGAAAATAAAGAAAACAATGGCAGGGACTGCATATTCTTTAAATCCCCTCGGTGGTGTTACAGATGGCGTCTCCAAGAGCAGCAAACTGTCGTCCTGTTTATTGGTACCTTTTCCTTTGCGTTTGGTCATCTTGGCTTCGCGGATGATCTGCACTGTAGACCGTAACACTCCCCCTTACTTAGTGATTTGGTTAGCACTCTACTACCAGACCTCAACGCGGTATTGGGCCACAACGAAGGGGAATAATCAAAAGAGAACTTTCAAGCACGAGGAGCGTGAGTAGGGGGCGTTGCGCACTGAGAGGCGGTCTCACTTTCATGGCGCTGTGCGGCACGTACAAACTTACCTAATGTTTCAGAGTTTTCATATCTATCTATCTATCTATCTATCTATCTATCTATCTATCTATCTATCTATCTATCCTGATACTGATCCTTAGGTCTGGTCAGTGGGCCTCTATATTATAAAATAATTTGCTTAGATATTAAGAACATTGTGCAGTTTAATTTTATTTCTCTTACTCTGCTTTGCAGACTCTCTAAAACTTTCAGACTGGTTGATGATGAAGTCTCTCTTCAGATTTTCAGCAGAGATATGAAGACTTTGGTTAGGCCGTTCAAGGATGAGAATTACATTGCACTATTTATTTGGCTCCAGGAGTCTTGGTGGGTCCAAACTTCTTTCATTTTACAATGATGAATGTTATGAAACTTTGCATCTGGCTATCAATAGAGTTTTATTGAATGTAAACATAACTAATGGCTATATCTTTGCCTGACATGACTGCTGTGACTTTATACACTATTGTCACAGACGGCTTCTAGTTTTTGAGACAACTCAAGGTAACCTGATGCTTCTAAAGAAATGAAACATGATTCTTCTTAGCTGATACATAGATAGACAGACAGACTGACAGATCATTCAATACATATATGTTGAGATATCTTTTTATTTTCTTCCTTCTTTTTATTTTATTTTTTATTTAAGATCACATAAATTATTACATTTATTTCACTTTCAAGAAATATGATCACAAACTGTGTTGTTTGAAGTTTCTTTACTCTGTAAAACAAGAAAACAGAAAAGTAGTAGTTGTTGCCTAAAAGTTAAAATCATATGAATGACAAACCTCATATCTAAAACATTAACCAAAATATGTTAATTAATATTAAAATAGAAGATATACCTTTGACTATAAGTTTGGTGGAGCACTCATCATGACCAAGGGGGCTTTCGGCTACAACCTTGTACTCTCCCATGTCTTTGGGTCCAACCCTCAGGATGAGCAGTGAACAAACACCACACACGTTTGTGATGTAGTAGTTGGGGTTTGTGTTGAGGCTGACATTATTATGGTACCAGGTAATATGTGGGGTTGGGTTGCCCGTCACAGCACAGCTCATATAGCACTCATAACCTGGCAGAGCAGCGTGAAGTTTCAAAGGGACAATAAATTTTGGGGCTGCCTGGAAGTCGAGGGTCTTTGATGCAGGCATGCTATATGTGATTTTTTCTGAAAGAGATGAACAAATTGCAAAAAAGTGATTATTTAGTTGTTGTAGTGTCCATTTTTGGTCACCTCACATTATGCATCACAATTATCTGTTTGTGCATCTGGGTTATAATGCCCAAGTGAAGGTACAATATAAGCTGGAGGGCTGTGAGCAATGTATGAAGCATATGAAGTGCGCACCATCACTGGCAAAATAATTATCCAGAGCTACTGTAATAGGCCACCATGTACTGTACTGCAGCAGTCAACCTTATAGGAACAACATTTTCAGAACAAGGAGGAAATAGTTTAGTGGCGATGTGTCAGGGACAGCATCACAAATCCCAGAAGTATAAACCTGGATAAGGGTGACCCATAAATAGAGTTTCATAGATCTTCTATCATCACTGTGCCCTTGAGCAAGACAGTTATCTCTGACTTCTCCAAGGGACTCACTGCAATTAGTGTTCTGTAAATTGCTTTGGGAAAAGTTGTCTGTTAAATGGCAAGTAGCCTAGACCACTGCACTGCTGGTTGTAATGCAGTCGAGACCATTGATTGTCCAAACATAATTTGTTTTGGTTCATAATGAGACTATGGATTATTTTTCATCACTAACAAGATTTTAGATTGAAATTTATATGAATATATTTGACATTTAAATGTCTCAGAGGCAATGCAGTCAAAAAGGGATAGTTGGACCAAAAATGAAAAATCCATTGACAATCCTTGACTTGTTCCAAAACTGCATGAGTTTCTTCCCTCTGTTGAACACAAAAGAAGATATTTTGAAGAATGTTGACAACCATACAGTTGATGGTAGCCATTGACTTCCATAGTATTTTTTTTTTCCATACTATGAAAGTCAATGGCTACCATCAACTGTTGGTTATCAGCATTACCAACATATCTTCTTTTGAGTTGAACAGAAGAAAGAAACTACAGGTTTGAACAACCTGAGGGTGAGTAAATGATGAAATAATAAAAAAATGTAGGCAATTAGTAAATAAAACAATCAGTGCTGTTTAAAATAGATTTAAAAATATTTCACGTCATCTGCTCTTTTTAATATATATATATATATAATATATATAATTTGATATTAAACATTTAGAATACTGGAAAATATAAATACAAATATGATTTTTTAAAAATATATATTTTAAATAAACTAAACAAAAAACTCAACAAAATAATCCACAAACCTCTTTTTTTGGTGGTTCCCCAAACTGGAGACACTGAGGGCTCTGAGAGACCTATATCATTCTTGGCAAACACTCTGAAATTGTACTCTCTTCCTGGCAAGATGTTAATGACTGTGAATTTGTTGTTGAACAAGCAGTCAACCAGTGTAAGCCATGTTTGCTTGACAGAGTCCCGCTTCATCACCATGTAATGCAGATGGTTGTCTCGTTTCTCATCGGGAGAAGGAGTCCATGACAGAGTCACAGTGCCTTGGACATGCTGTTCCAGTTCTACAGGACCTGGAGGCTTGGGATCATCTGGAGATGAAAAATAAACAAGTACGCATATAGAATCACTATATTATTCTATACTATATATAGTAGCATTAGAACCATACCATGGGTTTTGATATTCACATAAAAATTAAATGTATTTTTATTTTTTACATTAATTTGATATATTGTTGCCATTTAAAAAAATATTAAATACTATTTAGAAATATTACTAAAATGACATGTCCTTAACATTAGTTAAGATTTAGGTAAGAAATTTAAGGAGTTTGGTTACCATTGACTCTTATTTCAATAGTGAAGGTGTCCTGGCCCACCATATTCTTCACATTGACAGTATAAATGCCAGTGTCAGACAGCTCTGAGGTGTAAATAAATAGCTGAGAACCTTTTTCAAAATTAGTAATTGTCACATGTTTGGCTACAGGAACACCATTCTTTAGCCATGTTATGTCTGGTAAAGGAGAGGCCTGTGGATAAAATAAAACAAATACTCAGTCCTGATATACAGTATTATACAAAAGGAGTGTTAATATTTTGTCATGTGTGAATATGCTTTTGGTAAAATAAGATATATTTTGATACCCTACCTCAAAACTGACGCTGACACGAACAGTGTTTCCAGCTTTAACAACCATGAAACTTTTCATTTTTTTGTCAGTGAACTTTGGCTTTACTAAAAAATAAAAAAGCTAAAAGTCAAAGATATTCAAAACAACAATAACAACACAAAAAAACACGATTCTTTACCTGGAGGAGGCATGGCAATGATGTAATTGTCAAAGCTCTGTGGAAGCCCCTCTCCTCCTTCATTGACGGCGATCACTCTAACCCAATACATGGCCATTGATTTCAATCCCACAGCAGTGAAGGAAGTCTGAATCACTGCGTTTGTATTGCAACGGCTCCACTCAAGTTGGTCTGTGGGTCTGATTTCCACAAAATAGCCTTTTGCTTCATCTTCCTCACCTTTGACTTCCTTAGGTTTAGTCCAAGAAAGAGATAGACTGGTGTAGCTCGATCCAGTAATTTTGAGGTCTTTGACCTTACCAGGAGGCTCTGGGGAAAATAACATAACAAATATTTGCTTAAAAATTCTGGATATTTTTGTACTCTAACTGGCAAGTCACCATTTCAGTATAGAGTGGTTTTGAGTATAAATTTGTTGAGCATGTCTTACTTTTGGGGTCCCTTGCAATTGCACATTCAGACGGCCCACTTGGTTCCCCAGGCCCGCATGTGTTAATAGCGCTCACTCTGAACTCATACTCCACACCTTCGATTACATCTTTTACTGCATATTTTTTGTCTAAATATGAAATGAAAACATTAAAATTGTGCTGTATTTCAAATGAGAGAAAAACAGGCTACTTGAATTAAAATTCAATTAAATTAATATTTTATTTCAATTATATGTAAATTAATTTTCAATACCTCGGATTGGATCATCTTTTGGGTTTGCTTGACTCCAAAAATTGCTACCTTTTTTGCGTTTTTCAACATTATATCCAATGATACTGCCCCCTCCAGTGCTGGAGGGAGAAAGCCAGGCCAAGTTAATGCAGTCTTTAAAGGCACTGACTATTTTAGGAGGAGCAGGAGAGCCAGGGAACGCTGAGAACAAAAAGAACACATTTTATTATGTATAAACCACACTTCCTTTTCTAAAGACTAACAACTGATAATTTACTACATCAAAATACAGAAATAAATCAGGAATCTCACCCAAAGTGCCAGCAGCAATATCATTAGTTGTCAAGACTTCACTGAAGCCCTCCAAGTTTTTTGCCCGGATTCTGTAGCAGTACTTTCGGCCACGATCTATGTTTGTGTCTCTGTAGGTAGGCTGTCCAGGAATGTCTCCGATTTTAGTCCAGGTGTTCCGTCCCAGCTGCTGTCGCTCCAGGTTGTAATTAGTCACTGGACAACCACCATTATCCTTTGGGGGCCTCCATTTAAACTCAATGGCAGACAAGGAACTTTCTACGATTTCTACAGGTCCTTGTGGTGGAGTTGGCCTGTCTGGAAAAACAAAAAAATATATATAGAGTACTGATGGGTCACAATGGTAGAACCATTGATTAGTCATCCAACAACCAAACAGTTAACGTCAGTTAATCTCAGTTTTGATATTTTTAGTGATGGTTCTTTAATTAGCATGCAAACAGCTATAGCATTGTAAGAGATGTGTGCTACAGCTAAAAATAAAACACAGACAGATGTCTTTGACTGTTGCATAGATATATGTAGATTTAATATTCTTCTAAAATATGCTTTCACAGATCATTTTTTGCAGTTTAGACATTTTCTTAATATTAAGTTTGCAATACATACCAAGTACTGTAAGTTTGGAAGTTGCCTCTACAGTGGCAAATTCATTCTTGATTTTGATTTTTATCTCTCCAGTGTCTTTGCGCTGACACTTAGTAAGAAGTAGACGGCTATGAGTGGAAGACTTTTCGATCCTGACACCGTGACCCTCCAGCAACTCTTCGTTCTCTTTAAACCACTGAATCTTAATTGGTTCTTTGCCTGAAAATGGTAGTTTGAAGGAAGCATTTTCTCCTGCTTTGACAATAACAGGCTCTAAGAATTTACTCAAGGCATCTGCATTAATTTTGGGTGGATCTGAAGAAATGAGAGGAAAGAAAATTTGTAATTGCTTTACTATAAACCAGGGCTGGGTGGTACAGTAGAGGTGTTGTTTATTCACAGGCAAGAATAAACTACCACACAGCATGTCTCTTTTATGGGTCGGATGTTAATACATTACATTTTACAGAAAGCATCATATTTTGAAGTGAAGCATCAAAAGAATATCTGTGAAAGGTTATTATAATCACCTGATACCTTTTCCTGATAGCTTTGCCCTACCATAGAGCTTACACCGGCAAATAATAAATAAATCATAAATAAAAATAAAAAAAATAATCGATTATGGCTCCTACGAAATTAAATGCATTTTACTACCAATTTTATGTTGACATGCAAAGAGAAAAGCAGAAAACACACCTACCCTTAACATTTAGTGCAGCCTCTGATTTATGTCCTTCAGCCTCAAACTTATATTTTCCAGCATCTCTTTCTTGGCAGTCATGGATGATTAGTTTGTGGTGAGCCCCATCTTTGACAATTGTAATTCCATCCTTTGACTCCAACTGATGTAAAAGAAAAAAATGCATTTAATTTTTGTAATGCATGATATATCCACTACCGGCCAAAAGTTAAGATTAACTAGGATTTTTTTAAAATGTTTTGAAACAGTCTTTGATGCTCACTAAGGTTGCATTTATTTGAACACATAAACAGTAAAAACAGTGATATTGTGAAATATTATTACAATTTAAAATTTATTGACTATGATTTGTAAAATGTGATTAATTCCTGTGATGGCAAAGCTGAATTTTCAGCAGCCATTATTCCAGACTTCATTAGAAAATTCAGTTTTGCCCTCACAGGAATAATCACATTTTAAAATATATTACAATAGATAACATTATATATACTAAATTTGGTTGACAAATATGGATAAATATAATACATTTCTGTACATTATAACCTTTTTTCCATCTTTGTACCATAATCCATTGCTATCTTCACTGCTAAGTTTGCAGGACAACTCTGTTGATTCTCCAACATTGGCTGCAGTATCTGACAACCCGTTCAGGAAGTGGACTCCATGGTCTGGATAAAAGTGCACAGGAAATATGTCAGATTACATCATCTCAGCACTGAGAAACAGGTGACTTTATATTAATGTGGAATTTCAGACATGAACGCATACCTATGATGTTGTTAGGAATCAGCTCACCGACTCTTGTACGCTTCTTATCACCTGACCCGTCTCTACCTGATCCATCTAAATCCAATCCATCACCTTTTCCATGACTTCCACTCCCATCTCCCAACCCATTTACCAAGGTACCATCTCCTCCTTTTCCGTTCTTCCCCGTTCCATCACCCTCACTCCCATCTCCCAGGCTAGATCCTCCACTGCCTTTTCCTGCTGCCATAGCTGCCATCCGTTCAGCAGCTTCTCTCTCGGCCTTGGCCTTCCTGGCCGCCTCATCTCTTTCAGCTTGGGCCCTCCTGGCCGCCTCATCTAGTTCTTCCCAAGCTTTTCTGGCTGCCTCATCTCGCTCTGCCTTTGCCCTCCTAGCCACCTCATCTTGTTCGGCCTGAACCCTTCTGACTGCCTCATCTCTTTCAGACTGGGCCCTCCTGGCCGCTTCATCTTTTTCAGCCTGGGCCTTCCTCGCTGCCTCATCTCTTTCAGCCTGGGCCTTCCTGGCTGCTTCATCTTTTTCAGCCTGTGCCCTCCTGGCCGCCTCGTCCTTTTCCCTCTGCAGTCTGGCTTTCTCTTCTGCTAAACGTCTGGCTAGTTCATCTGCACCATCATCTTTCCCGCGGACACTGGGATCATCTGAAATCAGTATCAGTTACAGTATATACTTTAAGTGATATACAGTGATCAGACAAAATTCAGTATTGTAAAATTGGCAATTTTGGGTCTTTTGTGTTTCCATCTTGTAAGCCTGCTTGATTTTGTTTGGCTCCACTTTGAACATAGTGTGATAAATGAGTGTATTCTGGGAAATTAAGTGTTGTTTCACCAGGGTCCATATATGTACACTAGTGGTCAAAAGTTTGAAATAATTAAGATGTTTTCAAAAGAAGTCTGTTATGTTCATCAAGGCTGCATTTATTTGATGAAAATACAATGCAAACAGTAAAATTGTGAACTATTATTACAATTTAAAAGAACTGCTTTCTATTTTAATTTATTTAAAAATCTAATTCATTCCTTTGATAGCAGAGCTAAATGTCTTTTTGATCAAATGCATGCAGCCTTGGTCTTCCAAAAACATAAAAAAATTCTTAATCATTCCAAACGTTTGACCGGTAGTGTATATGCATTTAAAGTGCATGTAAACACAATTCACTGAAGAGAGAAAATAAAGCAACTTACCTTCCACATCCAGAGTCCCCTGGCTTGACCTGAGCCCAGCAATAGCCGTATAGACTCCCTTGTCCTCTTTTGTACAGTTTTTCACTGCTAGTTTGTGGACTTGCTTGTCTTCTGACACTGCAATGTCATATTTTTCCCCATGCTCAACAGAGATGTCATTAGCACACCAGGTGATTTGGGGTACAGGGTCCGATAAAGCACATTCAAACACCGCATCCTGCCCCTCAATCACTTTAGTGTCTTTCAGTGTGGTATTTAACTCCACATCAGGCACTGGAGGCACAAAACAATTCTTGAACATTTATGGATTTTATGAAAAATCAAATTTTCACTGCACAACTTCACTAGCCTGTTCTTTAACCTTCAAATATGGCATGTTGCCTAATAACAATACTGTGACATTTAATATAATAATTAGTTACTTCTAATATCTTAAACAAACAAACAAACATAAAACGCATTGATATTATAACTACTTACACACTAGGGAAGTTGAGAACATGTTCACCTCCTCTACATCCACTTGATATAACCCAGCATCTTCTGGGCCAACATCTCTAATGCTGAACAAGTATGTTTCACCAAATTTCTGCATATTATGTTTTGTGGCCTCATCAGTTCCATCTCCATAGTCAAGCATTTCCCCATCCTGGTAATAGTAAATTGAAGTTCATTACTCTCAAAGCAGTATTGTTGATGACACTGAGGCTGTTTAAGTGAGGGCACTTACTTTGAAGAGAAGGATTTTGCTGTTAGGATCCTTTAACTTCATGTCGAGTTCAAATTCTGCTGTGCCATCCGTTTTTACCTCGATCTGTTTCAAGCTGTGGATTTTCTCAACATACTTGAAGACAGAAAAATCAAGAGTGGAGATTTTTCATACTGTATGTGTATAAAAAACAGTGGTGCAGAAATTAGTATGATACTCAAAGCAAACAAGACCTTGGACTGTTCTGCCTCTCTTTCCTTTTTCTTCTGGTTAAGTTTTCTCAGCATCCACCTGAAGTCGGTGACTCCAAATTCCTGACAAATCCGTTCATAATCTTTCCTGGGTGCACTCAATAACACCTCCCAGAACCTCGGATCGATTTCTCCTTCATTCCATTGTTTTTCTTTTCTCTTCCCAACCCTAAATGTATTTAGTATGATTACAGATCAGACTGGTTGTTTTGGTTACTTAGAAATGTCCCATCAGTTTTCTGTCTCTATACAAGTAAATACTAACATATAAAAGGTATGGTGAAGGTAAATATATGATGCAATGATACATTACGTTTTCTTCAGCATTTTTCTGAACTCATCAGGGTCACTTTTGGGGGCTGAACATTTTTTTAAAAACATTTTTAAAAGTTATTTTGACACTCTGAATGCTCTTTAACAATCATAAGATTTTCCAATACAGTTTATTTCATTTGAGGTGTCATTAGCTTTGAGTTACATAAATACCTGGCGCTCTTTTCTTGAATCCAACTGAAAAGAAGAGAAACAGGCCTTTTAGGCCTATATGTGATATAGCATTTTTATTTTAATCAGTAATAGATCAATATATTCAAATGAACTTTATGAATTTCCTACCCTCAATGACATTCAGTGCAGCAGTACAAACCGCCTTTCCAAATGGATTTATAGCAAAACATTTGTATGTGTCTGCTTGATCCGAATCTACATTTGGTATCTGTAGAATGGAAACAAAAGCCACATCAAATGTTGTTAAAGAAAAACAAAACACAGGTGGATTATAAATTATATTACCAATATACCAATATTTATTAATATTGTTTAAACATGTAGAATGAAAATTAAATGGCTGATAACATGGTTCTTCAGACAGTTGAAAATTTCATTCACCTCCAGAATATATTGTTCATTCTTCTCATCAAATCGTGAAACATATTTTGTTGAATTAGAGATATCTCCCTTGTTACGTGCCCATGAAACATCTGGTACTGGATATCCACTCACAACAGCTTTGAAAAAGGCCAGTTTGCCTGAAGATTAAACAGAATAGTTAGTTGTGATGTTAAATATTATGATCGAGGACAGATGGATGTTTTTCCATTTAAATGAATTTATATTGCTGAAATTCTATGATCCAAATGAGCCATATGAAAAAAAAAAGTAAGACAACTATTACCTTCCTGTATAGTTAAGGCTATGGGTTTTCGGATGAAATCAGGAGTAGTAGATCCAGGTGGCAGTTCTTCAACGTATTGTGTGACCATAACACCAGGCACTCTGGATCTCTTCCTAATTGCCACTGAAATATCAAAACAGTGTATTCAGAAACGTATCATTCCATGATGTTCAGTTCTGTAAAACAATGGAATATGTTTTCCTGAAACTATACAGGAACATGGCCGTCAAATATGAAATGGAGTATTTATGTCTCATGATCTTCAGAGTTTGAAGCTGTGGATTTGTTGTTGACCACATGATGGCGATGTTTAATCACAGCCTTGATCATGAACACTTCCTGATCCTCACATCTACTAACTGCTCGATTAAGAATAAGGTCATGGGTGATGGAACAAAGCAATTCTAAAATAAATGATTCAGATGGATTTAAGAATTTTGTCATACCATGATTGTCATGATTTTAACTTACCGCCTGTTCCTTCTGCTGGCTTTGGCATCTTCACAATACTAGACTGGCCTTTAATTCAGAATTTGTAGTGGTTGCACAGTCTTATCTAAAATCGAGAAGAGAGGGCAAAAATCATTATATTGCACATGCAATCAGTTACTATTGTTGTTATTAAAACAATTTAAAGGGTGAATGCAGGTTAAAGTGGGACAAATATGCTTCATCTTTATTCTTTCATTACAAAAACAACAGTAATTTAATCCTAAACTAAGATGGCATGACACAAAAGGGCTTCTTTAGTTCTGACATCATTTTGCGGGGCGTGTTCGGGGCACTGTTCCAGTTTGTCTATAGTGTGTTAGAAAAGTTCTGAAAAATTATGATGTGTGTTATTTTAAAAGAATGCCATGCTGTGACAAATTAGTATAAAGCGTCACCATAGCAAACAGATATGATTAACTCTACCAGGTGCATTTATTTTTCTTGTTACACAGACAGACTTTTGTTATTGTCACTGAGAACATTATAAGGTCTTATCCCTGATAAAGGGCTGATATGTGTAAATAAAGAATATGAAACACTAACAGCCACCTGTCCCATGCCACCTTGTGAACATCTCTTCACGAGATAGTAAAATTCAAGCAATATGCCCTATGTAGAAATGTGTTTCATAACGACATGGGAAGTGCTATATACATGTATATAGAATACCATTTTACTGTGTTGATGTCTAGTCAGTAACCAGTAACTGAACCAATGAACCAATAAAGATATATTAGGAGGTGATATTATACATTTTGCACGTAAAGTAACACAAGACTGGCATAAATTATTTTTAACGCCATGATAAGGTACATGATCCTTACCAATCATTTTACAAGCATTTTACCCCTGCTTTTGATAGGTCACATACCTCATAAATTTATCAGAGATGTGCTACAAGAGCAATTATGCTTTAGCTTAGGAGAGCAAATCATATTGAATTATTATAATAACAGAATATGAGGAGAACTGCTGTATAACTATTTACGTGAAAAAGTAAAGCACCTTCACTGATAAGCCACTCAACATACAAGCAGAATACTATGGTTAAAACATCAGTGTGTTTTAGTAGAGCACTACAGAACCTTTGCTACGCTAAGGTCTTAGAAAACGATTTTATTCAGCCTGACTTTGGCAATCACATGTAAGAAAGCACTTTAACATTATTTGATAGCATCTTTAAACACTTTAGTGCAATCTGAGCATCACAACATACCATCTGGAATCCTATATTTAATATGCATCAATACTTAGAATCAGGTCTGTGGTTGGGTATCTTCTCATATAGGCTACAAGTCAAACCTGAAAACTGATAGCTTTCAGATTGCTTTCTATATTATTTACTAATAAAGATTAATGTGTAATATTGTATATTTCAAGGTTCTCATCTGGAAAAAAATGAAGTGAAGGAAGAAGGAAGGAGAAGCAACTCACCTTCACGTGTAGCTAACTTGCTCTGTCAACACAACCGTGTTTGACTCCCACAATTTATTGCAGTCTCTCCATTTTGTTCTGCAATAAAACAGTAGTGGGCCAAATTGAAACCTCTCAAGCACTGCAGTCTTATTAGCTGTCACATTAAATCTGTTATTTGGGTGAGGTTTACAGCAGCAAAGGGACAGAGGCCCTGTCCGTGGCTCATGGTCATACTTATTCTCTAAATAGTGAGAGTGACATTCAAGTTGCTTTTGTGGTGATGACTGTTCATTTGCCATTGCCAGGGACAAGATGTAACGTCACCTTTGCCAGAAAACAGGATCTCATTTATGTTTTATTGCACTATTTGATCTAGTCATTAGCTACACTATTTAACACCATGTCTATGTAATGACCTTACATCAGGATGTGTAAAATAAGATTTAAGATAAGTTATGTTGAAAGGCTCCACAATAACAGCACTCATCTCAATAGTTCAATATATTTTGTCTGGTAATGTTCCTTCAGATTTGAGAGACTATGTTAAATTCTCATGTTAATGGCATGTGCTATTTATAATTCAGCGATGCACAAATAAAAATATTTTGATATGGGTATGCAGTCCCAGAGGGTGCCATTTCACATGCACAGGAGCTGACTGCTTTACATGCCCACACAACTTTGCAACTCTCACAAACTAGTGGTCACATTATCTGGGCCCAATAAAACACACATATAATCTTACGACTTTAAACTTTGTCCCGATACCAACAGAGTGCTGCAGGGATGGCATATTTTTGTACGCTGAAACCGAATCAAGTTCAAGTAGAATAAAGTTTTAGCACATCCAGTTCCATTGTCAAAAAGTCAATGGGTTTTTGGTCAAATGGCAGAAATAAGGTCAAGCTCCAATTTTTTTAAAAAGTTTGATTCTACAATGTAGGAAATATTAATAATACCCTCTTGTAATTCTTTTAAAAGCTTTTACTTGAAAAATGTTTATATGTTTATATTGCGTTTATAGCTTACATTTAGCATTTTATTTGTGGCTGTTGTATTTAGGCTTCAGAATTCATAAAAGTGTGTTCATTTGTGTAGATTATAATGATGAAACGTATAAGAATCATACACTAGAGCTTATAAGCTCTATATTTTCTTCAATAATGAAAAAGCCAATGGATTTTAATTTTTTTCAGGGAACGGGTGATGTTAACTTCCGGGTTGGTCAACAAAAATACGTCAACGCTCCATCATAGATAGGATACAGTATAAACGCTAAAATCTTTAAAAGAAGCAAAGTTTCCCCCATAATTTTCCTCCGGTTTTTATAGACCTTAGCGGCAAATGCGCATGTGAGATACTTGAGATACAACTGCTGGTGTGGATTGGAAGGTCAGAAACGCGGTAAATCCAAGAGAACGCTCCGTACGAGCACGGTGGATATTGGTATCCAGTAGGGAGTACAAGAAGTGTATAAGCTTTTATAGGAGTGATAACGAGGCAGTGTTGATTTCAGGTGACCGTTTATCACAATTCACAATTCTTGCTGTTGTAACGAGACTGTGGCAAAGATAATACTATCGCTCAGTCACAACACAGTGTTATCTGAAATCTGTTCTGAAAGAAGAAGAAAAAAAGTCCTTGAAGCAGTCAGCTATAAATCCGAGTCAGCCCATTGGTGTGGTAGTATGTAAATGTAAGTCAGTATATAGGCTAAACATTAGCCTGTTGTAGGCCTATTTGTTATTGTTCATTTAATGTAACTTTGAATTGTTTTTGAAAAATCTTGGAGTACTTAAATTAATAGGTTATATTTTCAATTTGGTAAAATTCCCATTTTATGTTATGCACTACATACTTGCTTTTTGATAGTGGTTTCAGTTTCAGGGATGCCTGACATTGGAGTTGATTTTGTGGGGAACCATGCGGAGACTGGAACTGTTCAGGTTGCAATCTGAAACAGTATTATCCATGTTCTCACACTATCACAGACATGGATGTCATGTCACTGTACTGCTGAGGGCTGCATATCTTTTGTTGGAATATTCTAAACTGTAATTTCAATGAGAAGGGGAATGTGTGTGAGAATAAATGTCTGTAAAACTTTTTCAACCATGTCCAAGAAGAATGTCCAGTAGAGTCCACTAGTTCATACTGTACCTGGATCATTGGGGATGACATTTAAAGTCTCAAAGAACAACATGCTAGAAAGTATGCTTGTCAGAAAATGTTTATTTGCATATTGTGAAGTCATATACACTAATACTTTCCAAATTATTATTTTTTTAGTAGTAGGCTACACATCCCTTGGTATAATAGTAAATTATGTGTGTTCTCAGTTGCAACCATAGCTATGTTAATTTATATGCATGCACCGTCCTAGCTTAAAATGCATGCAGGAAATTAATTGTGGCAGAAGCAGAGCAAAAACTAGCACGTCCAGTGGAGTACAGATCAATCTGAAATACACAGAAAAAAGGAGAAAGAATAAAATGAATGACCAACTATTTTATACAAAAATTATATTTAAGAGCTTTTTGTTATTGTGGTAAACCTTCGTTTTTTGGAAAAGTGGAATAGAAAAATGTGTTGGTAAAAGTAATTTGATTTTGATTTACATATGTAATGCACTGGCCAGGGCTTTTCATCTACTTTTTCAGAAAGCCAAATTATCCAAATGACAGTTTTTTTTTTGGAGTAATTGTCAGATCTTAGCTCTTTCATTTTCATGACTGAAACATACTTTATGCAGGTCTCATTCTAGGTACTCAGGCTTAATTTTGTGTGTTATTGAATTTCAAAATAAGTCATGTTGCAATTGATAATGCAATGCAAGTACACACAGTATGAGCTTTGTCAAAAGGCCCTAGTTTTTTTTTTTTTTAATTGCTGACTGCTGAGGGCTTCTGAATTCACCATAGAGATTTGCACAGTAAGTGCTCTAATGTATCAAGCGGTGCAGCTAATTTGTCTAAATCAATCTGTGACCGCATAAAAATGATTGACGGTCCATATTTGCCCTGCAGGTCACTTTTTGACGAGCTCTGGCATAGCTGTTGCCCATTTGCATTACGTAACCATGTTGAAAATTATTAGCAACGTGACCATCATGTAAATCAGGTGACTGTGGTAAACACTTCTCAAGCATCGAAATGAACACTGCAGCTGTCATACCTTTTACTTTTAATGTAGAAGAACATTCTGCCTTGCCAAATGGGTTGACTGACACCACTTTGTACTCGCCACTATCTTCAGGTCGAACTCTGAGGATGTACATAGAGCAGACACCAGATGTGTTTGTGATGTAGTAGTTGTTGTCGGAGTTGATGCAAATCCCGTTATGGTACCATGCAATGTATGGGCTGGGACAGCCGCGGACAGCGCAGGTCATGTAGCACTGGTATCCTTTTGGTGGAGTGTGGCGTTTCAGTGGAACCAGGATGGATGGTGGCCTTTCCAAAGTGACCACGGCTGACACAGTTGAGGGCATTGGAACTAGTTGGTGGGAAGGAAATAAAAAAAAAGACCTAAGTACTTAGCATTGCACTAGCATTTTAGTTAAGCTAAACTGGTAGTGGGCCTGCTACCCACCTTTATTGTTGTTTATGCCCCATGTTGGTGATTCTGAAGGATCAGAGAGTCCCATATCATTTCTTGCATAGACTCTGAAGTGATATTCTTGACCTGGTTGAATGTTGGTAGTGTAGGTAGTACAGAGAAGGTGGTCGGCTATTCTGCGCCAAATGCGTGTGTTGGAGTTATATTCTGCCACCATGTAGTGCAGTCGGTCGTCTTTGTTGTGGTCTGGAGAAGGACTCCATGTGATAATGACTTTGCCATAAACCACCTGTTCTAGCGCCACTGGGCCTGGGGGCTTGGGTTCATCTGTAGCCACATAAAGTAGGATTATTTTATAGGAATAGAATATCTATGCAATAGTTTCTTTCACTTATGAGTAACTCTCTGTTTCTTTGACATGTTCTTTTCTGGTTTGTTGTCTCTGAAGGTGTGGTCTCACCTAGGCTTAAAGCATGAAACATGACTTTGAACAATTAATATTTGCAGTGAATATTTGCAACAGATTGTATGCAGCACAGCACTAAACTTGTTTACATTATGTGATCACAGCTATATCATTTACATCAAATATAGCTTACCTGTTACTCTGACCTCTATGTCAAAGCTGGCTTGCCCACTTGAGTTTTTAGCCACAATGGTGTAGACTCCTGAATCTGAGTACTTTGAGGAGGGTATGACAAGCGTGCAAGTGCCATCAGCATGAATGATCTTGTTCCAGGGAGATACAGGTTCCCCATTCTTAAGCCAGGTAATGTCTGGCGGTGGAGAGGCCTGTGTGCCGAATATCAATTTATTTCTCTTTGAAGAAGGTAAATAAGTGTGGATATGTAGATGTGGATCTTTACCTCATAATTAATTTTGATTCTGATAGAATTTCCTGATCTCACAACCATAAAGTCTTCAGGATCTTTGAAATGGGGCTTCACTGAAAATGATTGTTCGAAATCAGTAAAGATGTTTGAACTTAATTTGATTTCTTAATCATGTGACTGTGACTTACTGTTGGGGTTTTTAGCGCAGACCATCATAGAAGGAGCACTGGGTTCTCCAGGCCCAGACATATTAATGGCTGTTACTCTGAACTCATACTCTGACCCCACTGACACATCCTTCACTGCATACTTCAGATCTGTAAGAGGTAGAGACCACTTATATGTATTTTGAGGTTAGGTGCTTGCTAATGGTTATTTATTGATTTGTCATAGCAGTTGTTTTTCAGACTCAACATTTAGTAGAGCTGGAAGTCAGTGCCTTTCATTCAGTGTGGAGCTTTGATATAAAAAAAATACCTTGGATAGGGTCCTTAACTGGGTTCAGAGTCACCCACTGGTTTGTATCTTTTTTGCGTTTCTCTAGCTGGTAGCCCAAGATTTTATTCCCTCCATCTTTCTCTGGTGGGGTCCATGTTAGGTTTATACAGTTTTTGAATGCACTGACCACCTTCGGCGTGCCTGGTGGACCAGGGAACACTGCCAACACATAGGTGATATAAATATTAGATGACTTCAGTACTTCTCATATGACAAATTTAGCAGTAAAGACTTAAGAAGTTTACTTAAAGAGCCAGCCATGATTTTTTCAGTCTCCATCGCTTCACTGATGCCCTCAAGATTCT